GGTGTGTCCCAGATTTAAGGTAAATCTTCCCACTTCAAAAGATCAGGACTTAGGTTGGATCTTTCTACATCAAATAATTCAACCAAGAAAAATCCCTCATTGGTGTACCTAGGTTCTTGTGGTTTAGTTAATTCCACATGTAGTCAAGTTGACAACCAAGAATAACCATCACACTGGAAGAGTACCAGATAAGTAATGACAGACAACCTGGGTGAGTTCTTCGAGAACACCTGGTTGAATACTGTAAGAGCACCTGGGTGAGTTCTGCGAGAACACCTGGTTGAATACTGTAAGAGCACCTGGGTGAGTTCTGTGAGAACACCTGGTTGAATATTGGGAGAACATAGGTTTGAATACTGTAAGAACACCTGGTTGAATACTGTAAGAACACCTGGGTGCATACTGGGAGAACACCTAGTTGAATACTGGGAGAGCACCTGGTTGAATACTGGGAGAACACCTGGCTGCATACTGGGAGAATATCTCCCTCCCTGAGTGCATGCTGGGAGATGCTCTGCATGAGCACAGTCTTCTCTGCTTACCAGTCACTACCTTGCCCAAGGTTTTGGACGTCTAGTCTCTAAAATGGAACCTAATTTGCACCCACATCATAGGGTGTTAGGATCATAGGAACATTTATGAGTGTATCATGCTCATGATAAGGAGTCATACAATAATTGTCACCAACCAGGTTAGAAGTCATTCACTTACCTGGGCTTCCATCTTATTTTCTCCCTTCTTGTTATTAGTAAGCTTGTATTATGCAGCAGAAATATTTTATTCTGATATATCAAGTAGGGGAGTAGCTAGAAGCCAGAGTACTTATCTACTGGCTGTAAAGTAATTCTGGATTGTTTTGCTTTCTAAATTCAGCTCTCTTTAGGGAACCTGAGTGCACGCACTGTCCATTGCTTCATCACTGAGAGCATTTGATGCCTTCATGTCCTGGTGTTAAACTAAAAACGACTATCAGCAGTAGGTACAGACTTAAATGATCAACAATTTTCCATTATAAAAAAAAAACCTCAGTCCTTAGAACAGCATGACTCAAGGATTATGGATTTTCCAAGTATGTTATAATCTTGGGATGGGATCTTCTGATGGCAAGGAATCTACATAAATTGTCCACTTGATGTATTGGTGATTGAATTTTACTGAATTACAATCATGACTATAGTTTTATTTTCTGAGATTATAATTAAATTTCCCCTTAACCTTCTCTCCCTCCAAACCCTTTCTTATGCCCTCCTTGTTCTCTTTCAAATTCATGGCCTAATTTTTCAATACTTCTTGTTACACACACCACATGGACACACACACAAACACAGGATACACACACACACACACACACACACACACACACACACACAC